GCATCCACTATAAAGGAGCATATTTTTTATTTATGCCTCTTTATAAACAAACTTTTGATCCATAAGATGTATTGTATTTATAACCCCAAAAATCCGACTCCTAAACCCACTAGATAAAGGAAAACCTAAATCTAATCCAATAAGGAAACCGTACCGTGGGGAGCTTCGTCCCCCACACCCCCCAAATGAATCCACGTCCATTTATGACCCGTTACAATCCTCAGCTCGTTCTAGTAGGTCTTTTTAGTTATCTTTATAACCAGAAACACACAAAATAGATTAGCTTTGTTATCAATTGAAACAGCTATGTTTGAAAAACTCGACTACGACAGTTTAATGAACGATTTTACACGGAAAAAATGCAAGAAAATCTATATTTCAGCAAAAAATTATATGTTTTATTGGATTTTTTTCTTTTCTTACAAACCGTTTATGAAGTATGATTGTTTTATAAAATCTTTGTTTTATTTTATTATTATTTTAATTTTGAAAAAAAAATATAAAAAAACATATTTTTAAAAGTTAGACGCGGGCATCCAAATGGATTGGTCCGGCACTGTAAACTTTTGTTTTGGTCACTTTGAATTAGTATCATCATGATCATTACGTTATTAAGGCCATAAAACCCCAACGCGCTTAAGCATTGGGACGAGAGAGACGATTGAGATGAAGACTCATGACTTGATTGGCTCCAACTACGAGCTGACCTCCTATGAACACCACCGGCACAGTCGGGCTGCAGCCAAGCTGAGCCAATGCCTGCTCTATCTCCTGTCCTCTGTTGATATCATCGAGCTCATAGATCGTCGGGTTGACGCCAAAGTCTAAGAAGAGAGTCTTGATTGTGTGAGACATGCAGCAAGAGTTCTTGCTAAAGATCACTACCGACTTCTCGGAGATCATCTTTTGTAGCTTCTCCATCAGTGTTATTAATTACTTGAAAGTTTGTTCCGAAAGCGGCTTGCAAATGATGAAAAGTGATTCGTTTGAATCAAAATGGTAGATTAGAGATGAACACTGCAAAGCTAGAAAACGTATAGAGAGATGGTGATATCTTTGGTGAAGATGAGAAGTAACTTTGAGTTTAATAATTTAAATGAAGTAAATGAAGTAACCATTAATGGTCTATAAGGGTCCATTATATATAGCTTTCTTAGGTACGTAAGCTTTTCAAACTATGGATTAAATGTAATGAAAACCTTTTTCTAAGAGAATCAACTTTAGCTTTTGTGCCTCTTGCAGCTAGAGAATAAATAGTGTAACTATCAATTAATTGGGTAAAACGTACAGATAACAAAATATCTTAGGTTAGATGTGAGGAGTATTTGATACGGACGAGCCATGTCATATCTTGGTATATATATTTCCTTCTATCACAGTACGTAATGCTAGTGGCGGAGCCACATACGTTGAGTGGGGCGTTCCCCCCAATGAATTATAAAATATTAGTGTAACTTGTTAAAGCTTAGTGTTAATGCCCTTTTCATGAAATCATATATGTGCCCTCAATAAAAAAAACTTCTGGCTCCATCCCTGGTAATGCATGCATATACTTATCACATAAACCGGATTGGTCAATACTCCTAACTAAGTCAATATTATATACAAGTTCACTAAAAATGCTTGTATATAATAAGCAAAAAAATGTTATCGGAAAATTGTCGGTAAATGCTCAAAACATTTCCGAGGAATTTCTGCAGAAATAATATTTTAATACTTTATATAACGTTATATATTATGAAATAAGATGTATAATATAAAATCTTAAAATCCTGGCCTTTGACATGTACACATGATAAAATGTTATGTGTACGGCTTTAAAGCTGCATCTCCATCCTTTGCGAAGACTCGAGATCGTATGGTATATCTTCAATTTTTTATGTGTGAGATAGTATACGTGGCCTCTTCACTTACAGTCAAGATATTTTCTTTATTCTCACGAAAATTTCTTCATAAATCGATTTTAAGATAAAGCTAAGTTTTGTATGATTCTTGACATCGCAAAGATTCGATCTCATTCCACGAGGGTAAGGCTAAAAGGAACAAATTTAAAATGGCCTAACTGTGATCCAGAGAGCCATTATTCATATACTACAACTTGCAACGTGATTGTAAGCCCGTACATATATGCCTTACGTAAAAATACATATTATCTTCTTTTTTTACGAAAAGTACATATTATCGCATCGTAAAACTGAAAGATGCTGCAAATCTCGAATAATTCTGTGTAAATCACGCATTTGAATTGCGAAATGTTATGAACATTAATACACATATTTGCCTATTTTACAAGTTACAATGTGCCCGTGCGGTAAACATCCTATCTTTCAACAAAAAGAGAAATAAATTAACTTTTTATTATTTATCAGAAGAAGAAAGAATATGTTTAGGGCTAACGTCTCCGCCGCTGATGCCGATATCACAAAGTTTGGAGATTTGACGGAGTTTTCTCCGCGGCCATTGAAGAAGCCGAAGGCAGATCCAAAGGTGAAGAAAGAGGTTTTTGATTGTGGATATTGATTGTGGATATTAACTAAGGGGTCAATTCGGTAAATCAGATTGGAAAAGTATCTTATTAACAACTGAAATCGGGATTATATAAGTAAGTTAGATCGGAATGTATTCGACGAGCTAACAATTACAAGATATATGAAATAACCATTAAGGTCTTTGTTTCTCGGTTTGTGGTCCGGTCCCCTTGAACAGTGTCGATTACCTTTTATTTATAGTGTATTAATGACCTCGCTCTCTAATTTTTCCCTTAATTCCACCGATTTTTGGTGTCCGGCCAGAATTGGCAGTGGACTTTCATCAGGCCAAACTCATTCTTTAGTATAAAACATCGTTAACCAATATTTATTGGGCTGATCTCAACTTATACCACTAACAAATATTTATTAGTCCGGGGTGCAATGTATACCACTAACAAAGATTCCACCACAAATACAAATTGTAAAGTGAATTGGAAGGATCCGGAATACTGAGACAGCAATAGATGTTTTTGGAGGAAAATTTAAAAAAAAAAAACGAGGTAATATCCCTTTGATTTAGGGTTTATGTAGATCATTTTAGATCCCCCTGTGTTATTCTATTAATCTGTGTTTGGAATATTCAATTTTTTTGGTGTTTTGATGAAGCTTATTAAAGTGAAGCAAACAAAAACATACAAATGATGTATGTATGAGTTAATGTTATGTCTATGTAAGTTTTGAAAAGATAGATTATGCGGATACCTATTTTGTAATCTGTTGGAGTATTTTACGGTAAAATCAGCTACCGTTGGATTCTTTTTTCCCATGTTTATATTTATATATTGGGAATATTCAATTTTTATGAAGTATTTGTACTCATGCTAGCATGCATCTAAGAAATGTAAACATTTGCACTGAAAATTTTGTATTTTTATGATGTAAATCGAGTGTATATTATTATTAATGCATTACATGCTCCAATACATAATAATTTAAGATGAAATATTTTATAGGAAAAGAATACTGTATATATACAAATGAGGTTAAAAATGATGACGAGTTTGAATCAAGTTGTGGCTCTTTTCTATAGAAAGCCTGCATGCATCTCCTTCCTTCGTGAAGACTCGAGATAATATGGTATATCTCCAGAATACTCTGATTCTTCTTTTTCTGTGTGGTAATTTACGTGGCCTCTTCACATACATAATACATTCAAAACACTTTCTTTATTCTCACGAAATTCTCCTCATAAAACGATTTGGCATAGCTAAATTTGTATGATTCTTGACATCGCAAAAAGATTCCATCTCATTGAAAGAGGATAAGACACAATGGAACAAATAATTGAATGTGGCTCAACTGTGATCCGGAGAGTCGTTATTCATATATTAGAAAACAAGGTCGTTATGTTCATAGCCCGTACAATTCTTACGTAAAAGCACATATTATCGCATCGCATCCAATTCCACTACTACGCCATGCATTTTATCAAAACTTGCATTTTTTAGATTCTTTTTTTTTTAGATTCTCATTCAACTTCCGGATTGTACACTCTTATTTGTGGATGTTCAAAAAAAAAAAAAACTCTCTTATTTGTGATCTGTTTCATCTGTAGCGTAGTGATTTATACTAGCTAGTCTCGATTATGCGTTATCATGAGTTTAAATCGAATATATATTATTGACAGTACGTACCGTGCCTCATGTTGTAAAAAATAGTCATTTTCCTTAGGCCACCAAAATCCTAGTATAATATTAGAGGTCCACATTTTTTTTCTAATTTACCTTATACATGTGTAACATGCATGTAAATGGGCAGTGCCAAATTTACAGTGTATAATGCTGCAGTAGCAGTGCTAATTTCGTCATATTTCATTTTTGCTTCGAGTTCTTACTTAGTCAACTCAAAAATTTTAATTTTCATTACGAACCACTATATATGTTAACAGAAATGGGTTTAAGCAAAAACTCCTACAAACTTATTCACTGATAGATTTTTGTAACAATGTGAGTTAGCTTATCTGGGAGGTAAGGATTTTCACCATGTATGTCAATTTTCTATTTTTAATATATTTGGTAAAACGAAATCTTAAATCTGATATCAATATGTTTAGTTATCTTATAATGCATTGATCTTCTGGCTACTTTGTTAGTCACAAGACTCACAACGACACAACCCTTCCCCTCGTCCCAAGTTATGGCATTTGTCAGTTCGGATATGTTTAACCCACCCAAAATATATAAACGAAATCACTTTTCGAAAACATGAAAATTCGATAAATATTCTAAATGGTTAATAACGAAACAACTACATTTTCAAAATATGATACATTTATCATCTATATCTCATTTCTTTTTTTGGAAAGGTTCATATTTATAATTATAAGATTAACCTTTAACCAAAAAATAAATATGTATCTATACCAAAGTATATGATACATATAACCATGGAAATTCGAAAATTAAAGGGGAAACAAAACTAAAGGGAGTGATCCAACGATCAATTTTATTATAAAATATGCCCACAAACAAAACAGGGAGCTCATAATCTATTCTTTTTCGGAACTAAATTTTTCAAGCTCATAATCTATCCTTTCAAAACTTAGATAGAAAAAACATTCATACAAGTATGTTTTTATTTTTTTGTCATCTTTGATTAGATTCATTAATTACATTATTATTACTAATATCAGCAAGCTACGTTCCATACGTAAGTATGCTTTTTCATTTTATCAAAGCCATAAAGCACCAACGCGTTTAAGCATCGGAACGAGAGAACGATTGAGATGGAGACTCATGACTTGATTGGCTCCACCAACGAGCTGCCCTCCTATGAACACCACCGGCACAGTGGGGCTGCAGCCAAGCTGAGCCAATGCTTGCTCTATTTCCTTTCCTCTGTTGATCTCGTCTAGCTCATAGATCGTTGGGTTCACTCCAAAGTCTAAGAATAGAGTTTTGATTGTGTGAGACATGCAACACGAGTTCTTGCTAAAAATCACTACTGACTTCTCAGAGATCATCTTTTGTAGCTTCTCCATTGGTTTCGTTATGTGAAAAGGTGCTTGTAAAGCGGCTTGCGAATGAGAAAAATGGGCTGTGTTTTAATCAAAATGCGAGATTATGGATGAAAATAGGAAAACTAAAGGACTTTTAAAGTTAGTAGTGAAATTGTTGGGTGGATATGAGAAGTGACTTTGAGTTAATTTATGTGTTTGATCGGTTTGATGTAGAGAAGTGTCTCTAAGACTCCTTTATATAACTTTCTATCATATCATCATGGGTTCGATGTACGTAGCACTTTTTCAGAGAATCAACTTTATTGCAAGGAATAAGGAACACATTTTTCAAATAACAAAAGATTATGATAGTGGGAGTATACGAAATAATTTGAGGCTATGATCGTTCACACATTCTTGACTTTTTAGCTCTTTCAGCTAAAGAATAAAACTAATTCGGTAAAACGTACAGCTAACAAAATCTCTCTTAGATGTGAGGAAGATCTGATACGGACCAATCATGACATGTCTTTATAGTACGGCAATATATTTTTATTAAATTACGTACATATAATCAAGTTGATGCTACATAGTACATAGTTTCCATTAAAAAAATAAATAAATAGATTGGGACCCGTCGATCTTAATCTCTCTAATATCTATGAGATTAGTTGCAGTGGCTTGTATAGAATCGGCCATGTGTTGAAGTTTACATGAAGTAATTGTTTTCAGAATTTCCCTTTATTTATCTTTTTTTTTGCTTACTAATACAACTTAAAAATGTTTAAAACTAGGTTAAATAAAAAATGGCCTATACGTATGCAAGTTATTTTATGATGAAGCTTCTGTGAGACAGACGGGATCTAACATTTGCCATAGGTTCAAAACTAGAGCTCTATTTCTTGGAAGACTCGAGATCGTACGGGTATATCTCCAGAACAATCTTTATTTTTGTTTTGTTGAGGATTACGTGGCCTCTTCACTTGCCATCCCCCCCAAAAAAAAAAAAACAAAATCGATTTGGGAATAAAGGTAAGTTTTGATTGATTCTTGACATCGCTAAAATTCGATCTCATTCTATGACGATAAGGCAATATTGGAACCACATCATTTTTTCTTTTTCTTTAGGTTTGTATTTTTTGGATTAATTGAAGGTGGCCCAACTGTGATCACGGAGAGTCGTTATTCATGCACGGAAAATTACGTACAAGGTCATCATATTCATAGCCCGTACATGTCTTACGTAAAACAACAATATGGCCGGTATGATCGCATCTAATTCCACCCTCGTACCATCTTATCACCTTACACATATTTTGTTTGGTTCAAGTTAGATTTACAAATTTGCTTATAATAAAAATTTAGTTTGATGTAATACTTTTCAATATATATAGTAAGAACGTACATATAGTTTTCAATTTTTTTTATTTAACTTCTGATTATTATTTTTATGAACAAACATAATCAAAGTGAAGAGCATTACATATTACATAAGGTACAAAGGAGTAGTAATAAAAAGAAGCATTTTCTGGGATCTCAGCTTTTGATAAATAAAAAGAAGCATTACATAAGTTATATGTAGTTTTCAATTTTTTTTCGAGAAAACCAAACTAAATGATATTGAAACAAAAGAGTTTATTGCCAAGAAGAAAAATTAGACGTGACAAATATGATGGATATATATAAATTGTTTTCACGTAAAAAAATTCGAACAGAGAAAGGGAAAAAAATAGATTAAAGTTTGATGACAAAAAAAAATTACAACTATAAGTCTATAGTGAAGAAATAATTGAGGAGACAAATAAAAAAAGAAAAAACGATTTCTGAAAAAAATATCATAAATGTTTTAACACATATCATATATGGACTCTTATACCGGCTCATTAGGTCCATCAAGGCATTGTACTTAATCTAGATTCCCTATGTACTCTATATATACATTCTAGTAATTAATAAAGTTTCTAAGTTTTCACAACACGTATTATCAGCACGATAAGACTCTCTGAGCGAAAAACCCTAATAAATCCGGCCACCACCAAAACCCTAAAAGCAAGTCGAAACTTAAAAGACGCATATCTTCCAAACCGTGAGGAACCAGAAGACGATCTACATATCAAATCGAAGCCCTCGACGAGACGAATCTACTGGTGAAAACCGTTTGTCGATCCAACGTCGGACGCGCCCTCACGCACACTTACAGTACACGACGATCAACCGAAAAAAAAACCAGATCCGAGTTTTTCCTTCTTCAACCAGCAGCTTCTCCAGTTTTGGTGATCAATCCTTAGAATTTGTAGCGGCTAACTGAGGTCTATTAGCTCCCAGTTTCATTAGCCTGTCAGAAATCCAAAGGTGGAAAAGGTATCTTCTAAAACTGAGAGCCATAGAACCTGTTGTTTAAACACTTCAAAACCCTATAAAAAAAAAAAAATCGATCTCTAATTGATTGAAAGTGTTTGATACTCTGATGATTGATTGATAACTTGTTGATTGATTGTTTAAATTACAAGTTTATGCATGTTCAAAGGTTTTAAACTCGTTTTATAAAACCCTAATCTACAAAAACCTAACAACCGTTTTTGGCCATGTTCATGGCATAAACCTATTCGATTTTCTTCATGTTTAATAAGCTTGTTGCAGCTTATTTGATTGTTGATTCTCTTGCTTGAAACACTTGATTGAATAAACTAAGAAAATCAACCCTAAATCCTAAGCTTGATTCACGATTTTGTAATCTTCAAAATCGTAAGTCATAATGCTTAAACCCTAGTCCTTTTCACGTGATTTCTTTGTTGTCCTTGTGAAATTATTAAAACCATCGACCACAGATCCTATAGATCTCGAAATCACATCCAAAATATGTTTTCCAAACCGTTAAAACCCTAGATAAAACCCTAATCATATTCGGCTCCCCTAGGGTTCCTCCTAAACCGCCTAAAACCGGCTAAACCTGGTTCTCATTAACCGAAATTATATTCGGCTTTAACCGATTAAATCACAGCTATTAAACCGACATCATGTTCGGGGTAACTAAAACCATACCCTTTAAAATTTACTATTTCCGAGAAAGTTCCCTCTAATAGAAAGTTTCCTCATATAAAAACTTTCCTCATATAGAAATTTTCCCGACATAGAAACTTTCCTCATTTAGAAAATTACCCAAATTAGAAACTTTCCAAATTTAGAAACTTTCCTAAAATAGAAATATTCTCAAAATAGAAAGTTTCATCATCAGCATTCAAAATTTTCTCAAAACAATCCCTAACAAAATCAATCTCATGTTTCAGATGTCAAACATTCAGAAATGTGAATTCGAGGCCCTTTACGTCTCCGGGGATAACTACCTCGAGTGGGCCCTAGACATGCGCTTGTTCCTTGCATCGAAAGAACTCGATGCGTGTATTACCGACGGTAACACCGCATCCCGTAAGGGACAGTCTCAGGCGATATGTCACATACGCCATCATCTGGCCCCGAGTCTTAAGCAGCAATATCTCACTCTTGAGAATCCACTTGAATTGTGGCAAGCGCTGAAAAAGCGATATGACCATCAGAAAATGGTCCAGTTGCCTCAGGCAGATTTCGACTGGAAGAACCTTCGGTTCCAGGACTACAAATCCGTAGATGATTACAACAACGAACTCTTTCGTATTGTTGCCATCCGGAAACTCTGTGGCGAGGATGTGACAGATAATGATCTCCTCGAGAAAACATTATCCACATTCAGCACAGAGAATGTTGTGCTCCAACAACAATACCGTGCAATGAAACATACATTGTACGAAGACTTGTTGTCCTGTCTTCTCCTCGCTGAGAAGAATAACCAGCTGCTTATGAGGAACAGCGCTATGAGGCCCCCGGGATCGGCTCCTGTCCCAGCTTCTCGTCAAGAGTCCTACCATGTTCAACCCGATAGATCCTCAGATCACCGCCGTGGACGTGGTAATGGACGTGGTAATGGCCGAGGACATGGACGTGGAAGACGTGGACGCGGACATGGTCGTGGCAACCGACCTAACCTCAGTTATGGTCCTGGTCGTGGTCGAGGCATCACCAAGCCGACCCGCCACACCAACCCCGATCACTCTGCTTGTACCAGATGTGGGATGTTCAACCACCCAACAAAGCAATGTCGCACCCCCAAGATCCACTGCGATCTATACCAGAAATACGGAAAAGCTCCTGCTGAAGCCAACATGACTCAGCCAGTCGATGCTGCTAACCTGGAAGGTGACGACCTCCTTGATGATGAGAACACCACAAACGAGCAGACCGACCCCATGGACTATGAAACAGCTGATCTCCTCGATTAATTCAATCATCTGAAACTCTGATACAATTTGATTTTGTTCTTTATTTTTTTTTTTCATTTTGGGATTTGTTTCATTTTTTTTTCCATTTGCCTTTATTCTCAGACACTGCTTTACTTTATGATTTATCACATTTTCTGAATTCCTCAATACTGAATTCTATCTTCTATTCATAATGAAGCACACCAGCAAATGGAAACCATAGTCGTAGATAGTGGATCCAGCCACACTATCTTAAGAAACAAAAGTTACTTCATAAACCTAACCTATCAAACCGCAAATATTAGCACCATCGCGGGTCCCTCAAACCTTATCGAAGGATATGACCATGCCTATGTGTTGCTATCAAATGGCACACAACTTGAAATACCAGATGCTCTATATTCTCCTAGTTCGAAGAGAAATTTTCTGAGCTTCAAGGATATAAGACAGAATGGTTTCCACATAGAAACCCAAGGTCAAGGGAACAAAGAATCCCTCCTAGTCACTAAAACCGTAGACGGCCATAAACAAATCCTCGAAACCATACCCGCGCTCTCTACTGGACTTTACCATGCTAAAGTCAATATGATTGAAGCTAATACCACTCTCAAAGCCCGGTTTACTGATTATACTATTTGGCACGACCGGCTCGGTCATCCCGGTGCAAATATGATGCGTAAACTAATTCAAAACTCTCAAGGGCATACCCTCAAAGAAAACCGAGCTTATCCTCAACACCTCATGTGCACAGCTTGTTCTCAAGGCAAATTGATCACTCGGCCTTCACCAGTTAAAATCTCTAAACAAACACTTCATTTCCTAGAAAGAATCCAAGGCGATATCTATGGACCTATACATCCATGTTCCGGACCATTCCGGTACTTCATGGTCCTTATAGACGCATCGACCCGTTGGTCAT